TGAGGTACTTATTCCTCTTACCTTGATGTGAGGAACCACTATTACTGATTCCTGACTTGATATGTGCATATTTAACTCTTAACTATGATTATTACCACTGGGATTATTTTTCCCTTTTGAGACTTGACAGATACTTCAGAGTCATTATGTGTTATATCCTTAGAACTGTTTGGCTGACTGGTCTGCAATTGAACAATTTATTCCTGCCGACCTAGTCTGATTTCTTCCAGACCGTACTCTGGAGGTTTTGGCAAACCCACCCTTTGCATTAATAGGTTGATCAACTGCCTGGCTTACACCCTTTAATTTATTCATAGCCTTACTTTTACAAGACAGTTTTTCTTCCAATTCGTAATGTTGATTAATTAAAACATTCATTTCCATTCCATCTGCACAATTCTCCAGCAGATCTCTTTCACAGTCTTTAAACCACAATTTGTACCACTCTAAAGCATCTAAATATAACTTTAATTCATTAGGTTTCACGCTTCTTTGATTCATTAAATTCAAGCACTTGCATGCCTTCGTCACATGGCTTTTAATAGCCTGTAATGATGCTTTTATTACTCTAAAATTCACGGACTTGTCAGCCACATTAACTCCATCGGATCCAGTCATGGTTAGAGAATTATTAATCACTGATTATACAACTTAAGTAGGCGCCATATAAGAGTAATTCTTGCACTTTACTCTTGTATAAATCCTAGCCACACATGTGCTAGCAATTAATTAGACTAATTATCATCCACCACACGACCGATTAAATTTGTGTACTCTATATCCACTTTCTTCAATCAGTCACTTAATTATTAAGTAATTAATTCAATAATTTTTTTCACTGATTGCATCCGGTTCAGGAAGGACCAGCGGGCAGATATGGAAAATTTTCTAGGGTGATTACCTGTACGCACTTCAACATTATATACATACAAGTAATCTCATTTGGGGACAACACTATATTGTTTACCGTAGTCACCCCGTGTAGACATGTGAGAAAACTTCACCACCTCTGGTCACTGCAGGTGGGCCTTCGACCTCACAATCTTATCCACATCTATCCGAGACCAGTATAGATTGGACAGCACCTACAACTACGGCGCTACTAATTAATTGTGCCCTTCCCCCCAAGATTAGTCCAATGACCCACCCAGTCTGATAATCTCCACTCAAGGATGGAGCACTGCACCAGACCCAGCAGCACAAGCTAGTCAGGTCCAACTCACACCCACCCACACCCACTCATGTATTTATCTAACCTATTTTTAAAACTACATAACGCTTTAGCCTGAATAACTGTACTCAGGAGTTTGTTCCACTTATCCACAATTCTATTACCAAACCAGTGCTTTCCTATATCATTCATGAATCTGAATTTTTCCAACTTGAAACCATTGCTGCGAATCCTGTCTTGGCTGGAAATTTTCAGCACGCTATTTACATCCCCTTTATTTATTCCTGTTTTCCATTTATACACCTCGATCATATCCTCCCTAATTCTACGCCTTTCGAGAGAGTGCAGATTCAGGGCCCTCAGTCTATCCTCATTGGGAAGATTTCTGATACATGAGATCATCTTTGTCATCCTCGTCTATACGTTTTCCAGAGCATTTATATCCATTCTGTAATACGGTGACCAGAACTGAGCAGCATAGTCTAAATGAGGTCTAACCAAGGATATATAGAGTTGAAGAACAACCTGAGGACTTCTATTATTTATACTTCTAGATATGAAGCCAAGAATTCTGTTAGCTTTATTGCGAACACTAATGCAATCTTGTCATGGGTTTAGATTACTGCTAACCAGAACTCCTAAATCCTTTTCGCAATCAGTAGTATTAAGATCTACATTATTTAGTTTATATGTGGCATGGTTATTTACCTGTCCAACATTTAGAACTTTGCTTTTGTCAATATTAAACTGCATCTGCCACCTCTCCGACCATTGCATTAGTCTACTCAAATCATCCTGGAGTGCTCTAGTGTCCTCATTAGATTGAATTGGACGGCCTATTTTGGTGTCATCAGCAAATTTGCTTATGTCGCTATTTATTCATTCATCTATGTCGTTTATGTAAATAGTGAACAACAACGGGCCCAACACTGACCCCTGAGGAACACCGCTTGTGACGTGCCCCCATTCTGATTTATCCCCATTTATGCAAACTCTCTGCTGTCTATTCGTCAGCCATGCCTCTACCCTGGAAAAAATTTCTCCTCCTATTACGTGTGCCTTAAGTTTCCTCAATAGCCCTGTGGGGAAACCTACCCAAAACCCTTTACTGAATCCATATACACAATACATATTCTTTTCCATGTTACCTCCTCAAACACCTTGGGAAAAAAAGTTAGTAAATTCGTAAGACAGAACCCCCCTTTGTAAAACGTGTTGGATTCATTAATCAATCTTCCTGTAAAGATGGCTACGAATTGCTTGGCAATTAATGATTCCAAAAATTTTTTCCCACTTGGAGGTAAGGCTTAATGGTCTATAGTTCAAACCAAGGACCCCACCTGCCTTGTAAATGGGGTATCAATTTGCCTTTTTTTCATTATCGGGAAAACTTATGCCAGTTTGTAGTGATTTTTAAAAAGATTAGCCAAAGGTATGCTAAGTTCCTCTTTAATTCCTTTAAATCCTTGCAAAAAGTTCATCAGGGCCTGGGGATTTGTTAGGTTTTTTTCTTATTTTTCTGAGGACCATGTCACTTTCCGCAATGTACAAGTTTTTTTTCATCCTGTTCTCATAATCTATTATTTCAGGAATATCGCTTGTATTTTCCTGGGTGAAAACTGAGAGGAAGTAGTATTTAAATTTCACACATATCCTATCACTATCATGATCTGACCAGGTTACTCTTAATGGGCAAATTTTTGTCCCTAATCATATTCTGTTACCAAAGAACCCTTTGGGGGTTAGTCTTTGAATCCCTTGGACCTTACCCCTCAAAACCCCTTTTTTTCTTTTCTTATTCTTTCTTTTTTTCTCTCTTTAATTGAATATATTGATTTTTTTAACTGCCCATCCTCTCTTTTGTAAGTTTTAATATGCCTCTCTTTTGACCAATGAGTTTTTTTTAACTTTTGTTCATCCATTTGGGATATTTTTGAGATTAATTTCCCTATTTCGGAAAAAAGTTTTTGGGCAGCTAGAAATATGTCTGAAAAACGCTTTTGGGCAACCAAGGTCACCTCCCTGACCCATAGTCAGGACACCCAAATTTTTTAGCTCCCCCAGGAAATTTTTTGGGGCCCCAGAATTTTGGCCCCTATCAATTTTTGGGGGGCCTATAAATCAACCCAAAATAATTTGTCTTTTCCCCTCGAGAAACGTACCCAAAACGGTTTTGTTTCGGTGCTTCTAATTTTATATCATGTCTAAGACAAAAAATTTAAATTTCTTGCTACATGGCCACACCCAACCCTTCCTGCTGACCCTTCAGTGTAAAATAGTTTAAAACCCTTTGTAGTTGCTTTCAAAAGGCTTTTCCTACTTTCGGGTTAATCAGGGTCTCGTTATCCCAAATAAATCTATTACCTACATTGCAAGTAATCTTAGCTCATCTATCAATTTTTAGACCCCACTTTTTGTACAGTAAACCTTAAGGGAGCTTTGTCACTCGTTGCTTTCTACTCTCCCTCTTTGTTTGTTGATCATTGGTTTTTCCATTTCTCAACTTTTTTGAAAATTCCCTTTTAAAAATATCCCTGAGGTATCCCGGGAATAAATGTTTTTTAAAACCAAAAAAGCTGCAGCCCAATTGTTTCCCACAAACACCCCTACCTCTAAATTTCATTTTAAATTCCAGACAAATCATCAATTACCCCCTCCAAATTGAATTGGCTAATGCGCCACTCCATCCCCAGAGGATGAAAACCCCCTCCCCCTTTAAAAACATATCAGTTTGCCAAAAAATAGGTCCCATTACAAAAAATGGATTGCAATTTCCCTTGCAGTACCTGTCTAGCCAGCAATTTTACCAATTGCCCTAACACCCATTCTTGCCCCCCCTTTTGGGGCAAGATGCTACATAGAGGGGAAACCCTCTCTTAGACCTAACTACTTCTATGGTGACCTGTACTTATAGCAGCTCCTCCTTTCCCCTTCCCAATGTCATTCCCCCAGCACTAAGAAGAAAGGGGCTTGTTCCCTTTCCCTGCCATAATATTACCCAACCCTGCTGCTATTCCCCAAAAAACCACTCCAGGAAGACACATCTCTGTTGCCTTTTCTGCCCTTGTTACAAAATGCACTTCTATAATCTTACCGAGAACCCGCCTATTTTAAAAAATTCCTACCTTGATTAGCAGGGGAATCAGGGTACCTTCAACCCACAACCCACAAAGTACACAAATAACCCGCACTAAAGAAGAAGTTTACACGATTTTGGGTCCGACTTGGACCATTGACAAAGTCACAATGGTCAATGGTCCAAGTGGTCCAAGTCGGACCGAAACGTCGTCGTAAGCTTCTCTCTTTTATGTGCGGGTTATTTGTGACGTTCCAGTCAGGGTATTGTGCTTTTTTGTTTTCAATGAAGTACCTCGTCTTGGGGGAAAGAGAATCCATTTCCTACCTTCACATCTTCTCTATTAACTCTCCTCATCTTCCTTCTTCCTGAACTGTAAACCACTTGCCACTTAGAGCGGCTGCCACTATCACTGCTGGCGACCATTCCTTCCTTACCAGCTAAATCCTTCTCACACTCGCTCCCAATCTATTATGCGAAGCTTTTCCCCCCCCATTTCCCCCCTGAAAAGTAGAATCCCTTTTGAAAACTTTAACCTGAGATTCTAAAACACTTCAGCAAGCCATGGTGCTTGGTAACACCCCATGCTAACTCCCAGAGCTTAGGCAGGTATGACCGCAGGTGACCACTGACCTCAGCGTTAAGGCTTTGGCAGAAGTTGACTTGGAGGATTTAATTGGATCAGCGGATTAGCTGTCTCAGGTATTAGAAAAATATATAATTACAGGGACTTAGTGAACCAAATATTTAATATTAGATACTTACAGGTATTGGCTGATTCAGGTAGTTGAAGATGGACATCTTGACGGGAAGGATCTCGCCTCTCTTGACAGTGGGTGGAAAGGTGAGGTCTAAGAAAAAGGGCGTGAAGGTAATGATGGACTTTCTCTGGGAAAGACCCAAGCCCTTCTCTGGGTGTGCACACACAGCCTTGCCCACCCACTGAGTGATGGTGTCTGGCACTGTCAGGTCTTGACTGCTCACACCAGAAGACCTGAACACAATAAACTATTTAGTTAACCTCAAATATTACTACACATATTGTAAATATATAAGTTCTGGTACTATGGTTGCTAACTTCACTGTTTGCACCAGGAACACAGCTTCTAAAAGAATGATTACTGGAAATTGAATTAATTTCTGTGTTGAGTTGTTCCTTCTCAAGAAATTTCTAACAATAAAATTATGGATGAATGCCAAAAATTTTGAAAATAAATCAATAACTTGGTAATAATATTAAAATTGCAAATATACTGGAAAAGAAATGTTTCTGAGAATAAAGAAAAATAAAATGTTCACACATAGAATAATTAATAACTGGAAAAAAAATAATAAATAAGACACCGAAAAAATTTAGGAAGTGGTGGTAGCAAAAATACAAAATAAATCCGCTATGGAGGCGATATACTGATATTCACGGCGAGTCCAGCCTATCAAATCTTGTAGATGAATGGTTTAGAGAACCGACACGTTGTTAAATTAGACACATGTGCAACTCTTGGGTATCTTTATTGAGGAAACGTTTCGCCACACAGTGGCTTCATCAGTCCATATAAAGGAGAAACTTGAAGAACAGGATGAGAATGAGGTAATCAGTCCCTCAACCTTGAGTCGATGTGGTCAGTCCATCAATCTTGAGTAGAATATTAGTATTCTAATTGAGTAGTATTCTACTCAAGATTGATGGACTGACCACATCGACTCAAGGTTGAGGGACTGATTACCTCATTCTCCTTCTGTTCTTCAAGTTTCTCCTTTGTATGGACTGATGAAGCCACTGTGTGGCGAAACGTTTCCTCAATAAAGATACCAAAGAGTTGCACATGTGTCTAATCTATCAAATCTTGTTTAAGTTTGGTCGTGATGGAGACAGAGGCCTCCGAAGGATGGCCTCAGAGTGGCTCAGACGGTGTTCACGTGACTAAGGCTTGGCCAGGGAGCCTGTCTATACATGATACATGGTATAGGTATACACGTATTATACAAGTATTGCACTGCTGATAGATATAGATAAAAATAATATTGCCTCAAAATTAAGGTATCCCAACGACTTTGTTATTAGATGCTTAGTAAGAATACAACAGGATTATTGCAAAATTACTGCATGATTCACCTCATATTAAAAATGTCTTAGTTTTACCTTATAATTATTATTATTATAATGACAAATGAAACGCTAAACCTACAAGGGTCATAGAGCTTTACCTTATAATAAAAACTTAATTATACTTAGTTACACTGAAATGATTTTATATAAACATTGTCTTCAGAAAACCTAAGAATGCAACGAGCAGTGTAGTAGGTAGTTATAAGATTCCATATACTGTCTACGAGCAGTTCTGTGTAAGGCTGTCAGGTAAAATGCTGGAAGCTAGACTATGCCATCAGTACTCATTTAAGACGGCACACGAGTCAACTGTAGTAGTCTTCCACAGTGCTTAAAAAATATTCGCCAAACTGGGTCACTACCTCAGCTGGGGAAGGGATTGAAATAAGGAATACACCAAGGGAAGAAACTAAAACACCTCAGGGGATGCAATGGGAGACACAGTGGGAGGAAGTAAGGGAGAGATCAGTTTTTCTCTATGGGCTCCATGAAGCTGAAGGGAAAACCTATAATGAAAGAAAATAGGAGGACGAAAAAACGATTGAAGGTATCATGATGGCAATAGGTGAGGGTGACATGACCCAGGTGACAAATTTTCGGAGAATTGGGTGGTTTGCAAGGAGAAGGAAATGGCCTCTCAAAGCAATTTTCAAGGCAGAATCAACTCCAACCATGATCCTGCAGGAGAAAGCACGACTGAGAGACAAACTGGACTTATAGAGTGTGTACTTCGATCGAGACAGAACACAAGAGGCTTGGATGATACTTTAAGAGAGAGTACAAAATCGAATGGAAGAACGGGAGGAAACAAGAAAGAAGAGAAGAATAACCCAGGCACAGGTGGAAGGGCAAACACCCAACCCCAGAGACACCCATACAAGGACTCCAACCACGAAAACCCAAGGCAACTGAATAATCTAAATAAGCAGTCACACACTGATCCCTCTGTCCCCACTCCCCACACCATGATCCCCATCCCTATAGCAACCCCCTATGGGAATTCTGCCTCCATCACCACCGCAACTACCCATAGGCCCCTGCCCGGGCTCCTGCTCTCCCAATCGTAATATTCTCCCAGGATCACAGTTTTAGAAAAGAAGTTGAAGGTTTGGTACATGAATGCGGATGTAATAACGAATAAATATGAGGAATTACGTGAAAGAATGAATGAGAAGTCCCCAGACATCATAGCAGTCACAGAAACGAAACTCACTGAGACAATAACAGATGCAATCTCCCTACCAGGATATCAGATCTTGAGGAAAGATAGAAGGAGCAGAGGAGGAGGAGGGGTTGCCCTGCTTGTTAAAAACCGATGGAAATTTGAGGAAATGGGAGGCATGAACGAGATTGGAGAAAGGGACTACATAGTGCGTACACTTCAGTTTGGTGAAAATAAGGTAGTCAATGAAGTGATGCATAATCCACCACAGAACTGCAGGAGGCCAAGAAAGGAATATGAGAGAGCAACAGAGCAAGTTTGGACACACTGGCTGATATGGCAAGAAGAGCTCACTCGAGCAGAGCAAAGTTACTGGTTATGGGTGATTTCAAAAACAGAGAAATCGATTGGGAAAACCTGGAGCCACATTGCATTCCCGAAACATGGAGAGCCAAAATGATGGTGATGTAGAGCTGGAAAACATCATGCATCAACATGTTAAGGACACTACCAGAGAAAGAGGGGAGGATGAACAAGCAAGACTGGACCTTGTGTTCACCCTGAGCAGTTCAGACATCGAGGACATCACATATGAGAGGCCCCCAGGAGCTAGTAACCACGAGGTTCTATGTTTTAAATACATAGTAGAGTTAAAAGTGGAGAAGGTAACAGGAGTTGAATGGGAAATGCCAAACTATAAAAGGGGGGACTACACTGGTTTGAAAAACTTCCTGCAGGAGGTTCATTGGGACACAGAACTGGTAGGAACGTCAGTAAACAAAATGGTGGAGTGCGTAACAAGAAAATGCAAGGAGGCAGAAGAAAGGTTAGTTCCCAAGGGCAACATAAACAATGGGAAGACCAGAACGAGCCCATGGCATACCCGAAGGTGTACGGAGGCAAAAACTAAGTGCACTAGAGAATGGAAAAAGTATAGAAGGCCAGAAACGAGTATGCACAGGTAAGGAGGGAGGCCCAGCGACTGTATGAAGGCAACATAGCATCGAAAGTCAAATCTGACCCGAAACTGCTGTATATCCACATCAGGAGGAAGACAACAGTCAAAGACCAGGTGATCAGGCTGAGGACAGAAGATGGGGAACTCACAAGAAACGATCATGAGGTATGTGAGCTTAACACGAGATTTAAGGAAGCATTTACGGTAGAAACAGGAAGAGCTCTGGGACGACAGCACAGAGCGAAACACCATCAGGGAATATACCAACAAGTGTTGGATGACATACACACAACAGAGGAGGTGGTGCAGGAGCTGCTAATTGACCTTGAGAGAAGGAGCAGAGACGCTGTGTGTGCCACTAACCACAATCTTCAACACTTCCCTTGAAACTGGGCAACTACCTGAGATATGGAAGACAGCAAATGTAGTCCCTATTTTTAAGAAAGGAGACAGAAACGAGGCACTAAACTACAGACCAGTGTCACTGACGTGTATAGTAAGCAAAGTCATGAAGAAGATTATCAGGAGGAGAGTGGTGGAGCACCTCGAACGGAACAAGATTATAAACGACAACAAGCACGGATTCATGGAAGGCAAATTTTGTGTCACAAACCTTCTGGAGTTTTATGACAAGGTAACAGTAGTAAGACACGAGAGAAAGGGGTTGGTTGGTTGCATTTTCCTGGACTGCAGGAAGGCCTTTGACACAGCTCCTCAGACGAGATTAGTGCAGAAGCTGGAGGATCAGGTGCATATAACAGGAAGGGCACTGCAATGGATAAGAGAATGCCTGACAAGGAGACAACGAGTCATGGTATTTGATGAGGTATCACAGTGGGTGTCAGTGACGAGTGGGGTCCCACAGGGATCAGAACTAGGACCACTGGTATTTTTGGTATATCTGAATGACATGATGGAAGGGATAGACTCAGAAGTGTCCCTGTTCACAGACGATGTGAAGTTGATGATGAGAGTTAAATAAGATGCAGATCAGGCAGGACTACAAAGAAACATGCACAGGCTGAACACGTGGTCAAGCAACTGGCTTCTCGAATTCAACCCCGTCAAATGGAAAGTCATGAAGATTGGGGAAGGACAAAGAAGACCGCAGACAGAGTATAGGCTAGGCGGACGAAGACTGCAAATCTCACTGAAGGATCTTGGGGTAAGCATAACACCGAGCAGGTCTCCGGAATCACACATCAACCAGATAACTCCGGCAGCATAGGGGCGCATGGCAAACCCTGTCTCACTCCAGCTAGTTACATTACTTTCCTGTGTCACTCCAGCACCTACATTACACACATGGGGGTTCCGAAACATGGAGAGCCAAGATGATGAATGTGGTGCTGGCCAATCTCATGCACCAACATGTTAGGGATACTACCAGAGAGAGAGGGGAGGATGAACCAGCAAGACCGGACCTCGTGTTCACCCTGAGTAGCTCAGACATTGAGCACATCACACATGAAAGGCCCCTTGGAGCTAGTGACCACGTAATTATGAGCTTTAAATACATCGTGGAGCTAAAAGTGTAGAGAGTAACAGGAGTAGAAAGGGAAAAGCTAAACTATAAAAGGGGGGACTACACAGGAATGAGGACCTTCCTGCAGGAGGTTCAGTGGGAACAGGAGTTGGTAGAAAAATCAGTTAACGAAATGATGGACTTTGTAACAACAAAATGCAAGGAGGCAGAGAAAAGGTTTGTTCCCAAGGGTAACAGAAATAATGGGAAGGACAGAACGAGCCCTTGGCTTACCCAAAGGT